TTAGAAAATGCTTGTTTGGGCAACGCAAGTCATAAAGTCTTCAAATAATACCCTTGTGTTAGGAGAGTCGTAGGATCCATTCAAAAAGAGAACGCTTCCGCCAGCCCAGTGCACCAGTCAAGCGAATACACTGTGAGGTTAGAAAGTTCTCCAAGGGTACTTTCGATTGAACAAAAGACTGCCAAGTATTTCCATTTACGTCTGTTAAGTTGGTCAACAAAAAATGGATTATCTGTGAAGGTTTTCAACAGTTTTCACAAGATATTGCTCCGGATACACGACTGTTTTGTACACGTGAACATCTGTCATGCCATTCAAAAAGTGGCCGCGAGCTCTCCTCAGCTTGGTCACTAGGAGTGGCAAGAGTAGTTAGAATGATGGATAAAAATAACCTCATGTAATTTATTCAATTTAAAGGACAACGGATCGCTACCCTACCCATTTTCAGCTCCCGTTTGCATTACTACACTATGCCAAATTCAAGCACACCTGATTAACCTTATATCCTACCTGCATTAAATCAAGCTACGTCACTTCAGCTGGTGTCTTGAGGCTGTGTACGACCGACGTGTTTGTCACCAGCTAGTTAATTTAACGGAGGATTGTATTATCCAATACCCTTGCGGTGTCTCCTCTTGAGATAAAATGGCCGAAATGCCCAATCGTAAATTTACGGAATTCGGTTTCGAATTTGGTGCTAAAAGTGTTTACGGTAAGGTGACGAGTTTACATTTACTGAACAGTGCTGCAGCATGACAGCAGTGCTGATGTAACAGTGAAAATGACCCAGTCGGAGGGTGTTTGAGGCCATTTGAGAAGCCATCGTTTTGGGGCAAACAACAAGTCTCGTCTGAACAGTCCGGCGCAATTATTCCGGTGAGTCCCCACAAGAGGGAAGCAATGGACTCGAGTTTCACTCTCATTGGGGCTCATCAGTAGTGCATATCCATAGGCCGTGCCGGGATTTGATCCCCGGACGTCTGACATGCGAGGCGAGTGCGTCACTACTGCTCCACCGACGCCCATTGGACACGCCTGAATTTTCATGTCTGAACAGGCGAACCTGTTCACGCTTGAGCGATGTGATTGGTGTACCAGGTTCTTTGAACGACGACCCAGTATGTGTCCTAAATGTGACGATCGATTGACCCGCCAATCATGTGGCGTCACACACGCTTAAACCCACTGGGCAAGAGGGGCCGGAACAGGAGGGCGACCGTTCAAACGAGAGGGGTGTGATTTTGACCAAAAAACCTAGCCTGCAAACCCCAAAGCTGCAAACAGTAATTCCACCGATTTTTCAGCAAACCTTTCTGGGAAAGTGAATATTTAGGTTTTCATAGGATAAGTAACGTGTTTTTTTCAATAACTCAATCTGGAGCCGACAGCCAGTTAAGAAAGCTTTCGTGAAAGGGCGCGAAGATGAGTTGTTGAAATGGGAGAATATCAAGCCTTGGGGCAACTCACCGATGGCGGGGTGACCAGATTCCAATGTACTAAATCGTAACTACCATCGAAGGGTGAACCTCATTTGGTTTCCTTATTCCAACCACGTCAAACTTTGACCACGAAATGCATCCTCATGAGAGTATTTATAGCCTCGGTTTTCCCACTAGATACAGTTTTGTGCAATTTGCTCATCTCTTAGTTTAAAAAACCCTTATGTTTCCAAAGTAATGTCTAAGTTGATGTGATGGTCGTTTGGTAACACTGAATATGAGACTCGCGGATCGTCTTCTTTCCGTTGAAGAAGTTGCCACCGTTGGCAATAAGATGTTTCGACAAAAGAAATATACAAAAATGTCTTGATCTTTCATTTTCAATTCAAAGGTCTCTGTACACCTAAAGTCTGCTGTGTCAGTTAACGCTTAGCCCCAGTACTTGCTGCTTGAAGCTCTGAAAGTTGAAAGCTTCAGGAGCTTACTATTCCTGAGACTTCTGTCCAAGATCACATTCTGACTTCTTCTGTGCACTGCCTTTATCACAGACCCAAAGTTGGACACGTGTTCCTGATTATGTTACATTCAGATCAAAGTCGCTGGTGTGATTTTCACACCAGTATATCATTTCTATCACAGGTAAAGTCACGTTAAGACATGCCTAACATTGCTAAATGAAGGGTTATGTAAAAGACAGTCTATAATAATAGGTGTCCAACATGCCTAGGGTACACATAAATGAGTTTGGGATCTACGATTTGTTACGGGGATACTTCGCAGATATATGGTAATTCAGCTGACATCAGATTCATGTGCTGTCGAGAGAAGGCTTTCTTATCTTGCAAGTAATTTTGTGGCCCGAAAATCTTGCTGTTTTTAAGAAATCTTCTAGAGAGCCAGTATGTTGGTGGGGAAGCGTTGTCTCCGTGCCTTGAAATCTCCCCCAAGGTATACTGCATGTAATTTTGGCACTGAATTGTTTGTCAGACAAGGCCGACTGGGATGTCACTATGCACTGCCGCGCACAGATTCCACGCTTCCTACTTAGTCTGTGCTTCATTTCCCCCGGTCAAACCCCTCCCTTGTCTGTGTGCAGGCGTGTGTCGCCAATTAAGATTGATGTGCTGTATTCTCCAGGCTTTCTTTGCAATTGCACTAACTCGTGCAACAATTTAGACGGAACCCCCCTATAATTTGGGGTTTGTGCCCCTTTTATTAAGTATTTTATATATGTAGTCCCGCATTTCATTGGTAAATCTCAAGAATTCACAATTTCTGGCTTGTGATTTTGCGCGTCACTCAAGTGGGCTTTCCCAAATACGTCAAAGTATTCCACATAGCCGTTGTTTGATGCAACAGATCTGAGCTGAAGGTAACCTATGTAATTGTTCATATACAAGCCTTAAGATCACGAGATTTATAAACGCAGCTCTACTCCTAGCAGTAAGGAATCCGATGCTATGAAGATTGGTCAGTACGCTAACGGGAACTTTTCTTGACCTACCATTGCTTGTTTACTCCAGGTAATCTTATATGTCCTTGATTTACGCTCAGTAATAGATACTTAGCACTCAGTTATTGACTTGGTCCATTGTCGGGTATTTACGATCATTTTTAGAATGTGTAACTCTGAAAGTCAGATTGTGGTTAATATTTCTACCATTAGTTACCGTTATTTTCGCCTACGTGGTTAGGAAATTTCGAGTACTCGCGGTAGACTGGGAGCAGTCACGGTCAACAGTGAGAACCGTCAGTTTGTGCGTCACACGGCTTGCCCTACCAATGCGCATAACTATTCATTCGTTTTTAAATTTAAAATATTATACTTTAATCCCACACACATGTTTAAGTAAGACCAATGAAGGATTTATTCACCCTTTCTACTCTTTTGCCGTCTGGAAATGTGTGAAGTGCTTGCTTTACCTTTTGGGTCCAAACAAGGCACGTTAGGATTCTGGTTAACCGGGGGTTGTGAAGGAGATTGCGAAACGCTTGAGTGCTGTCGGTGCTCCTCGCAACCCAGGATGGGGACCGCGTGATCCTCACTCTGCGTGGTTGGAAACGCTGCAAGGTACGGCTGGCAACCGATGTCAATTACGATCTTGTTGTCAGTTTCTATCCAACTTGTCTGAATGAGTGTGTGGATGTGTAGACACCTCGGAATTATTGTAGTATACTAGTACTAAGTCCCTTCCGCGTTCACCTCTATTCTTTTCTTCACAATAAGGCTTTCAAATAGATCATGTTGTACGGCAGCGAAGCATCGAGGTTGAAGACTTATATCATGCTATCAATGATGATGAATGACGCTAACTAAAAGCCCTATACACTATGGCAAATTTTGTTTCCGAATTTCGACAGGGCTCATGGGTCTTATTACGAAAGACCATTCGAAACGTGCAGATAATGATCGTACCCAACCATAAAGCAGTTGGATTATTTCATGCTATTATTGCAAATATTATCTTAGTACACATAGCCTCATCATAACTAGTTACAGTGCGACCCATTCGGGTGCCTTTCACAAGAGGTGCTATCAAGAACAATGCGGCTTAGCTTCTTATGTCACCCAGTGCAAATGACTAAACCTTGAACCTTCCGGAAGCTGAATAATGGACAGTCGATTGGTCATGGCAGTTATGCTGTAGGCTGCAACAAATGAAATCCAATATCAATTTACTTGCTTGCAAATTAATTCAGGATCATTACCCAAATTCCACATACAGCTCACTACTGATGTGGGAGGCATGCGAGTAGTAAGTTTTCTTCTTGTAAATTCGCTTTGCGTCCCTTGAAAAGGGAGATCTATTGCGGGATTTGCGGAGTTGCTTTGTAGCATTTGCTTGGATTTCAGCCGCAGTCAATGAATATCCAGGAAAGTTCAGGAAGACGCGTTCAGGAGAACGTGGATGTTCAGTTTTTGTCAATAAGATGCATATGAGAGTTTTGCTTCCCCGTCCAATAGTCTGTAACTGGTCAGTTGGCATTTTTTAGCGAAAAAAAACTCTGCAGCCGAGGCCTTCTTCCTTTAACCGGTTTCACTAATTTGTGGGGCTCATAAAGTAGCCGTAATCTCCGAAAGCTGAGAAATTCGATCAGTGACTTACTTGAGTACGAGGGATTCTGCTCTAGCTCCGACATCCATTTAAAGTCCAAGGTAAACAGACAATTGATTCCGTTAAATTCTTGGCCGATACCATTTGTTTCTAGTGGGTTACACCAGTCTATGCAATGATGGCTCCTGGTCAGCATTAGTCACTTTGCTTAGTCTCGTTCAACTTTATTGTATCATAAAGTGTGTGTATGTTTGAGGAGAGGGGAGCAGAACGACAATCAAACATACCTGTTCGAAACAGTGTATCAAGATCATCGGTCAAGACTTCACTCACCACAATTGGGCGGGCCAAATAAACCAACAGCGACTTTCCCAAACATCAGGAAAATTATGGAACGACCACTGGGAAAAGAGACATCGCTTACATCAGTTAGGCTTACCTGTGCAACCGTAGTAGAATCATGAAGCTAGAATTATTGTGCTTTGCTGCTTTTATAAAACGTCCGACATCACTCTGTTGGCATTTCGCATGAGACAAAGCTAGAATTGTGGGAAAAGTCGTCCTTGTATGTATGTCTGTGTTTAACGCATGCGAAATGTCAGATATTATACAGATGAAACGGAAAGGGAGGGAGAAATAAATCAGGGACTCGTTCAAATATGTACAAAATATACCGGATAAAATGCAACTGAAGATCAGGTTATGAAATTTCGCAAAGAGAACGTGACAAGTGGAAGCTGATAGGAAATGTGTTTTGGTGTTCTGGTATCAAGAGAGACACCACCTATGTGGAGCTGTGTATGGGCGATGGCTGTACAACTACTCCGGTCGTTATTTTATTGGCTGTTTGTCGTCTGAATCACCTCTCAGCAACAGTCCCAAGGGCATTTGACATTAGGCTTCCGATGGGTGGCTGAAGGAAATTACTACACCGAGTACAACCTCGGGAAAATTTGGTAACGTAGTGGGTAAGTAGTGGGAAACTAGGTTGGAAATTTGTGGGCAGCTGTAGAACGTTCACCGGTCACAAGTCGAGGGAACTCAAATAGTCAGTACTGAGCTATGCAATACATATTTACAAATAAGAGAGTTCAGTATACCTGCTTTTATGGTTGTAAGCTGTGGAGATAGGAGAATTTTAAACCCTGATTTCCCACATAACGGAGAAAAGTAAACTGAAGCTGATCCAGAACCGAGGCAACGTGTAGGCGAATGAAACTTTTTTCTAAAAATCCAAATGCCCGTCTTATTCGAAAATCATGGAACAAGATCACGGAGAACAGAGGCAACTTCCCTGAAATCAGGCCGCTGCCGTGCCACCGGAGACCAACAACGTAACAGTAAGTTACTCAACTCCGGCGGAATTTCAGCCGGAATATCTGGCCGCAAAGGAACATGATTCGGGTCTTTTGCGATGTTTTCATGCGCGGTCAGTGCAGTGTGGCGGCCGGCCACAATGATTTCTTGATCTGTTAGGCGAGATAACGGTAGAGTGGCGAGTGAGAAAATCTCGCAGACAACAACGGCAAACGCCCACACGTCAGACTGAATGGTATAGGGCAGAGATGGACCAGCAAATGAATGCCCGTAGTCTAGCTGATTAGCATTCACGCCAGGGCGGCTGACTGGTAGTGCCTCGACAATTAGTTCCGGAGCTAGCCAACGCAAGGGGATGAACTGGTCACCATTGGGTATGTGGTAGTACTCTGAGGCGTAGACATCACGAGCTAAACCTAAGCTCGAAATCTTCAGATCCATTTCCTGTGTGAGAAGGATATTTCTGGCAGCAAGATCACGGTGAACGCAACGTAGTTGGGAGAAATGTTCCATGCCGCATGCAAGTTTGTGGCACATTTTCAATTTCTGTGCGTAAGTAACCGATAGCAATTTGCATGTCTGGGCGTCGCTCTCGCGAATTCGACGGAGGAACATTTTCAGGTCACCCTAAAGTTGGAACCAAAAAAAAGCGTCACAATATACATCGAAACAAGCACTCGATTTTCAAAGATTATCACAAAATTGCTTGCCGGAATGCGGCGGGTTGAACACAAACTCGATTGTAGAGAATAGCCTGTTTGGCGCACAATAAAAGTTGTTATTTCAAAACTTAAACGGATGCAAGGTACAAATAATAAGAATACAAAGAACTAGACCATAAAACTAATAGGATAACACACCAAAAACATTTTAACAGGGACACAAGAGATACGCATGTAGGCGTGCGAGTGGCATCTAGCAATCATACTATTGTTATTGTTAGTGGCTTATTCCTAGCCCGATTGCGGTACATAGTCGCCATGCAACTCGAAGGAGGCCTGAGGATTGGGATACCATCGGCTTCCCCAAGCCTAGATAGACAGCAGCAATCGAAAGCCAGAGTTGGGTTCGAAACCTGCCAGCATTTCCGCGTGCGAACTTCTGAGTTGCTTTGATCTTACATGCCATTCGTTCATCATGGTTCCCCAGCTATTCAATTTGTTGATTGGTATTTAAACCAGGGAACATTAAGCGAAATGATCAATAACTGATAATGTTTAGGTTCTAATTAGATGTCTAATGTCGAGCTGAGAGATTGGATATATGCGATTTGAAGTGACTTTCCCGATCGAAAACAATTTTCTATATCGTAGGGTTGAACCTACTGTATGTCCACCGTAAATTATTCACTCTTTATAAGACAGCCATCCTAAGGAAACACCGTGAAACAAGTGATGGCTTAGGTGCCTTGTAGTTTCTTCACCTAAGAAATACCCCAAAGGGAATAGGCTTTACGGTGAACTTCCTTTCACAATGGAAATCCACCGTGCTTGAAAAAGTCATTCAGCACGACAGCAAGCAACGTTTCGTTTCCGAGGCTTAATACTTCGACAACAGAAAAAAGTACCCGGATGATGATAGCCACAACTTGATTTCATTGTTTCCACAAATTACAGCTAACCGATACATGTATATCTTTGTAATGTACTACTCATAAGGCTACTGAAAATCCGTTGACAGCCCACGACCGGTTTCGCCGTTTTTGGGGCTCATCAGGCAGGCGCAGTCCCCGAGCTTCCATCAACCTTATGTTCTGCTTGAAACCAAATTGCACGAAATTAGCGAATATACACTCATTTGCAAACTAATTTGGTTTTTTCGAGAGACTCACTTGGAACCCAGCTGAATCTCTTGTTTGTGANTGTGCTGCACCAGGCCGCCTCATGTTTCAGTCGCTACGATATTCGAGATATCTCCATACATGTACATCTTTGTAATATGCTACTGATAAGGTTGCTGAAAATCCGTCGACAGCCCACGACCTGAGAACGTCACAAACAAGAGATTCAGCTGGGTTCCAAGTGAGTCTCTCGAAAAAACCAAATTAGTTTGCAAATGAGTGTATATTTGCTAACTACAGCTAACCGAGTTCTACTCGCCCGAAATAAAACAATTAATCATCGGTTTGTATACAGTTTTCTAGTGGTTCCCCGTGAGAATGTTTGTACCTTGCCAAATTTAGTAGTCTATTAGTGACGCATGGCAAAGCAGCGGAAAGACCGAGAATGAATACGGTGTGAGCCGTTGTCACACAGTCCAAAGCGGAATCAATGGTACGGGGGCTCGCAGAAAGATGTTCACGCAAGGAAAGGTTTCCTTGGGAAACTAAGGATCACCTGTCTGTGATTTAGGCAACTTGAATGAAATAGCAGACTGCATTTCGGAAATATGCTTTTCTTTGTAACATTCAGGATACATACATACTGCGGTTTAATCGCACATTTAACGTTCGAGCAGACAATACGTCAAAAGTGGAAATAGCCCCCGTTCTTTTGAATCGCGCTTCTCACAAAAAACAGTGTTGTTCCTTCAGTAAAAACACTTTTTGCAAGCAACAGAATGGATTCGAGGTTTCTGCTAGTGAACTCCACCTTGGATGCCAATCAAGGTGAACGGAGAAGTGCTATGTGGGTGTTTCACCTTTATTTTGATTGCAGAATGAATGAATGAAGCTGTACTAGGCACAATAACATTTAGTAGTGAAGTAACAAACGTGGATGAAATAAAAACAGTTAAACATTATGAAATATGACTGCTGCATACGCCGGAGTATGTCCGCATTGCCTGAAAGGCTATAAACACGAGAACTTACCCATTCACAGTATTCCAGAAGCATGTAGAATGGTTCCTGTTCCATACATACTCCCAAGAGACGCGCCACACAGTCATGATTCAGTTTGCCGAACATTTCCAATTGGCGATGAAACTCATTGATATGACTAGATTCATGAGAGATCAACGATTTGACTAGGACCAATGACTGCATCTCTTCTTCTTGGATGTGGCGTGCGCGTGCCAGAAACACGTCTCCGAATACGCCTTTTCCTGGAAGTGAAAAAGCCACTTGCAATGTATGTGTTGTCTCTTGACATTCGTTTCAAAACCTGACAAAGGCGCTCACTGTCAAACAGTATAGTAACTAGACGTGGAATAGATCAAACTTGGTGGGCTGTATGCGGCATATTACAACGGCAAAGCCTTTCCAAGAAAGTATGACCTTCCAGAAGGGGTTACTTTTGTTAGGTTCTCTCAACAGGTCTCTCCAGAGTAGCTTGCATTGCTTGTTTGTTAAAGGAAGAATACCTTTCTTCTTGAAGAACTAAACGTTGTGCGAATCGCTCACTGGAAGGTTCATAACTACGGTCCAATCATGAGATCTTGTGGTGGGAAACATGATGGCATAACAGACTTCGGCATTTTTGGCCCCAAGGAGAGCCCAGTTACTAGCTTCTTTTGAGCGTCAACAGTGGTTGACTTGTGTGTCTACGGAATTTAAGTCGTTGTCTTTAGCTAAGTTAGACAAAAGAACCTTCTGAATGTGCTTGTACGCCCGATCAAGGAGACTTCATTGCTGTGGAGACCCAGCTTAAAAGCCTGGTCTTGTGTCTGTGGTAATGACTCCCATATTTCTGACTGCATGACGCAAAAATGATACGCTGTTGATAACCAATCACTTACCCAGTATTCCTTCAACCTTTAGCTCACAGCGTGGATAATGCATCCGCTCTGCTTGACTGATGGTACTTGCGCCGTTGACAACGCCATAGGGTGAGTAGTTATCGTTCACTGTTTGTGCACCATCCCCCCTGGGGGATGGTCCAACGTTTGAAGCACCACTCAATAATGAACGTGAGTATAAACTGGTAGAATTGCCTGATGAGATCCCACTGAAGTGCGAGCGTGAATCCAATGGAGTTGGAGGTGGCGCTGACATCAGTTGTGAATCAGAAGCTGTCGTGGCATTGGTACTATTTTCGACTCCATTGTTACGACCATTGTACATATATGCACAACCAGGCATGTTCATTTGATGCGAGTGCATATATTCATGGGAATTCATTCCCACACTATCTGGATTGGGTTCTGATATCATTTCCAAAGGGCTGGCCGGTGTTCCATGTGGAACTTTCAGTTGCATTTCAGCGGCATTAAAAAATCCCTGGTTCTTCCAGGGCCACCATTCCTGACTATCTTGTTGATTGACAGACGGAAGTTGAGAGCATGCAGATCCCATTCCGTTTGGCGTAATGCTTGAATGGGAAGTTACGTTTCGATGACCATCGGAGTCTTGGTAATTACGTCCGCTACTAATGGTACCAAGTAGAGGATCTGTGGCACGATGATAGTGCGGATGGAAAATCTGCGGTTGACCTGGCAAAGGACCAAATGATGCACTTCCCGGTGCACTAGCACCGGACCCGGTGCCTTGCAAAAAGAAACCGGAATCAAGTGTGTTGGCGTGACAACCACCACTGTCTTGCGAATTCCCGGTCGCTCCGTTTGGACAATTTGGCTCACCAAGTTGGGTCAGCAGCTGGCCATTTTCATGCACTTTCGGTACTTTAAATAGGGGAAAGGATAACAAAAATTAGCTCTCAGTGACTACCACAACAATAAGCCGTAGAAATATTTAGGCTGTGTTACCATGTCGGACACTAGGAGAGTAAAAATTTAAATTCAACGACCATGTTCTTTTCGCTGTAAGCTCGGCGAGTTCAAATGGGAGACGCCAATTCTCCCATGTTGTTTCGACCATCTATCAACAAAGTGTTGCGAATGTGGGAAGCTATGACAGATGCTCCAGGGCATGTTGGGATTCACATCCACCACAGCCACCGTCACCACCAACACGAATTCACGACCACAGATTTCGCTGTTTTTGTCACGATGGCAAGCGTACAAAGCGGACTAGGAACAACACAATCAGCTCGAGAAACCGCGTCGCAACAACTTTGCATACAGCGTTTCCCAGGTTAAGGAACAGATTTCGACTTGACAGTACGGAAAAAAATGGGCTCAGCCGCACTCTCATTCTTCTGCTGAGGAAGCGCACTTCGAGCTGATGCATCATACATGATTGCTGCTGCGGCTGGCCTGGGTACAAAAAACATTACCATAGTGTTTGTGTCGAAGATCAAATTAGCATAGCAACGCAGCCAGAATGTATTTTTTCATGGTCTATGCGAAACCGATGCGGCGAGAAATTGGGGACCACTTTCGCAAACCAATCATATGGCGTGATAACATTCTGCTAGCATACGACAGCCAAATGGTACACCTACTGAAGATGAATTCGTTGGCCTTAATCGTTTATTAACTGAACTTGGAATTGAATCAGTTGACCGAAACGGCTTTCTAAAAACAGACAGGTAGAGATATGGATTGTCGAAGTTATGCGGTATTATTGCTGAGTGCTAACGCTTACGTGACTGTATGATTTATTCTGAGTGCGAAGTCATTTCAAGCCTTACCGGTGAAAACCTAAAAGCTCATAAAATATTGACGGAACGAAACGAAACTAAAACTAATGAAGTCTCGGCCTTTGTAAAGCTGTTTGTTGAGAACGCTACAAATCAATGCATGTCGAAGAAAAACAAGGATCAATGGGGAGAAAACACATTTGCCGTAGAAATCTGAATAACTGCTCGAGGTTTCAGCCAGAGGAAAATATGGAGAAACAGATAGTTCCGCGGATGGTAATGGATATTCTTGAACGAAACCCAGCTGAGATGAAAGCGACTGAAATCAGCGTCATGTGACTTAGGAAGCTAGGAAGCTATTCAGTGATCATTTGGACTTCTGCTTCACTTTCACAAATCCCTTATAGACCTTCAAGACCCACACTGCAACGCTTCAAAATCAACATGCTTGTACCCAAAACGAGCATAAAATTGGTCAAAGTTGTACGTTCATCTCAACTGTTGTAATATGCAGCTGCACAAAGTATACCAATTATGGAGGGAATATTTGGTGTTTAAAAGATTTTTCAATTAGCTTATCAGTGTCTCATTTTCTACTTGGAGTGGCCCCCATTTGTGCATGTGTGTACTGCATTCAGCCGAACACTCATGCATTTATGCCAAGCTGTGCGTGTGACCCGTATTCAGAGTTTTCAGCAATCTTGTGAGTAGTGTAATACGTCTAAGCGTAGTCATATTTTGTTGGCACAATCATGGACTGCTTGTAAGGTTGCAGTCGAATATCGGTTTCGCTCATTTTGGTACTCATTAAATGTATCGTGATATATGAAATATCGGGCCAACTGAAACATGAGGTGGCCTGGCGCAGCACATTCAGTTACTCAAAAACATCATAAACAAGAGATTCACCTGGGTTCCGTTCCAGGTGAGTCTACCATCAAAATCAAATTAGTATGCAAGTGAGCTTACTTCGCCAAATTAGTGCAATTTGGGTTCAATTAGAACATGAGTTTGACGGAAGCTCGGGGACTGAGACTACCTGATAAGCCCCAAGCAGGGTGAAACCGGTCGTCGGTTATCGAAGAGTTTTCAGCAACCTTATGAGTAGTGTAATACGTCTAGGCTTAATCACATTTTGTTGACACAATAATGCAGTTATTGTAACAGTACAGCCAAATATCAGTTTCGCTCGTTTTGGGACTCGTTGGTAGGGTGTGGCCCCAGTGTTTTCATTAGCTTTACGCATTATCTGAACAACAGATTTTAAGCGAATTTCGTTAGGCATTTGTTGACATCTTACAACTTCAGTCCGATGATTCACATAGCCATAGAGTCCTTATTCCAAGTTACGTCCTAGTTAAGTTATACTGCTGGCATCTAAATTGATGGCTTCCGAGTGAATACTTGTTTTTGTTACTTTAGGTAAGAAGCCACAGAATGGATAATGGAATGGCATGTATACAAAAAGGATACTCCCAGTGACTGAGCCGCGCCCTTCTAGGAAGTACCCCCTTTAAGAGGTGGCCCGTCTCGTTTAATGTGAATTACTGATGGGTGTGGAACGTTTGACACAGATTTGCCTGTTCACACTGATGACAACGGAGCCGGTTTCATTTGAAAATGGATGTGCTGCTGGGGTTGGAAATATGAGGGACAAGGTCAGCAAACAAACTCGCAGAGTCCTGTTAACATGATGGCGTTACACCAGGAGCTAGCATCGAATTACACACGGAGGTGTTATCCGTCAGTTCCCTTACTTTTGAAAACTATGCATATCGATATGTGTGGATATGTATGTATAGCAATGCACCGGTTCAATTTCTTGCAGCTGACTGATACCTCCTGAGCGGAGTGTCCACAGTGTCTAGCTGAGAACATCTGCTCTTGTGATGGTTTATTTGCGACCACTTGGCCTACAGGTGCCTCATCACTACCAGGCTCTCGAAGAAGCCACTTGGACCAGTTTGGTTGCGTGGCACGCGAATTTAAATCCTATACATCATTTTTACCGTTCGGTTGACGTACGGGTAGTAATAAAAGTTGTTCTAACCCCAAGTTGATACAAGATTTCGCCACTTTGAGATACTTCTGAAGGAAGTAACCTGTTTGGTTATGTCTGTGTCGTCTCTGCTTAACCAGGCTAGCATTCTACTTTATAAGACCACCTAAGTTCTTTCCATCTACCAGTTGTCGGAAGTGCCAAACCAATCTGTCAGTTGCTATGCGTACTGAGCTAGCCATTGAAAAGCAACGCTAAGTGTGAATCTCATAAAAACTCGAAACATGACAGCGTTTGTGGAAACGTGATAGGCACCACCTTCAGCAAACCAGAGCGCTTGCTTTCTATCAAAATCCTCTATTTACTGATAATAGAGAGGGCTCCGGTTTATTTTTCTCTGCCAAAAGTGCTGGTACCCATTTGAGGATGAAATGTTTACAGAAATCAATGTATCCGCATATATAGGTTGCACCTAAACGATAGCTCACTACTTGTGTACATGCGTTATTGTATCGAATTTCAACCTAGAGCAGCTCATACACCGTTGGTTCCTGTACCAGACCAATTCAAAGACTAGCAAAATAAAGGTCAGTCATAAAAAGCGTCACACAATTTGTTTCCAGTGTTTGCGATGGTTGAAACCATGGTTGAGAATGCTTGCAGTGATGCGCAGCCAGGTTTGGAACCTGATACTAACCCGGTTACTGTGACTTACTGGTGCAACGTTTTACCGCAAATCGGCCGTATTTGGTCAACTATTATAGGCTTAGTGACTTGTTTCACTTTTTTTTCTATTTGGTAAGCGAACCACCTGTCGTAACCATGGGTTATTGCTCTCAAGATTTACTTCAAAGCACTCACTCCCGCACGGAACATCCTCTACCTATTTTCCGTCCAAGATGAAGCTGAACCATCTACAATCGCCCACCAAGGTTCATTGGTGCTGCGTGCGCCTGGATTTACCGTCTTTATCGAATTTATCAATCCAACATGGGTGAAGAGCATGTTCATTGGGTTGGAGCTAAACACCTTTCTGCACACGACGCTATCATGTCATTTTAGATCGCTGTATTTGGTGTTCTCTAATAAATGTGGAATGGCCGTACACAGTTTCTTTCTCCATCCTACTTCCGGTGAATAAATGTGCGAATGAATATTAACTCTATCGCCGCAGTGATAGCAACCGACATCCTCGTCGTTCGTTTGAATGCCAATTAACCTTACTTAAGCTTTGGACAATTACCCAGTCAACTGGCAGTAGAGGGCGGTAACGGATGATCCACTTGTAGCTCCATAAGCTTCAAATCAACCGAAGTGTAGGTTAATCCTTGTGACTGAGACGCAGAAGTATGTCGATCGATACAGAAGTTGACTGGCACTGTTTTGCGACGAAGATTTCATGGTAGTCTAGTAGGTAGAATGTCTAGATTTGTGATAACTGGAAATCCGTCCCCATGTGGCTAGAACCCAGGCAGGCGCATCGCTTATAATCAAACGTAAAGGTGGGATGATTAGAAATTATTAAGTGGACTGTAGTTCTCGCTCAAAGGCCTTCGGCCTTTCCCAAAGGTAATCGACCAAGCTTCCAAAGGTTACCAGAAGTTTAACCCAGGCAGGGATTAAGCACACTCGGTGAATTCCTTGGACGACAGCGGCGGTTCTAGAGTTATCTGTTCCCTAAGTAAACACAAGCACTCTTGTCTTAGCATTTTGAGGTTTTCGCATAACAATCACTGAAGATGGCACACCAGTTCGGCAGATTGTATTGTTTAAATAGCTTCTTCTGGGTAAGACATATCCCTTCCTCGTTTATGGTCACTCTTTTGCTTCGAATATGGACTTTTTGAAACGAGCTGATGACCATTTTGCACCTCGAAATCAATAGGTAGTACGCAACATCGGTAGCATTATTACTATAACACCTGTGATCATATTCACCCACTTTTTGTAGGCTGCTGTGGCAACGTCATTGAAATATATATTTTACACCATATTAGCATGACTGAGGTACCACGAAAATGAAAGCTCTTCGTTCACAGAATAAAATGACCTGAAGAATGGATGAGGCTAATTGGATAAGAATTAAAGGAGCTGGGAGTCGAACTTAACCAAACTAAAGGCTTAGAGGGGGAGATTCGGTATTCTGCTCAGTCAGATCAATCATAAAATAAGGTCGCCTATAATTTTATATGCCTAACACACTACTGATAAGGTTGCTGAAAACTCTTCGACAGCCCACGACAGTTTTCCTGCTCTATGTGGCTCATCAGGCGGGCGCAGTCCCAGAGTTTCCGTCAAACGTATGTTCTACTTGAACCCAAAATGGCCAGACTTCAAGAAATTTTGGATATCCATTTGATTTTGACAGGGAGCTGAATCTCTCAGTTGCCATGTTCTCTAATCACATATACATCTATACGTATATATATATATATATATATATCCGGTAGACTCAAGATTTAGGCTCTGCAGAATGTACCTTCAAAGGAAAGGCTAATTCACGGAATTTAATGGGGTCACATACACACCTAGAAGGGAAATAAACTTTGCACGAAAATGTAATAAACCCAAAATTCACAAAGGACTCCACAATTTATTATTAAGCGTATCCGTTGGAGAAATGCCAAGGCGTCTCAGATGATCCAAGGAAACTTGACAGAAGGCCCTGCAGACTGCTGAAGTAACTATGTTTCTGCCAGAGTTGTGGCGTCACTTCGCGTTAGATCGGTTGAACTCTCTCCCAGCTTCCTTCGAAAATACAACATTTCGAAGCTTCATGATGCTACTTTAGTCAGTGGTCGTCAGTGATCTACAGAAAATAATGCTAGGAAAAATATGTGGCCAGAAGCTCGTATACCTCATACATGGTAATTTTAAACTACCCTCCATCTCATGTTCACCTACCTAATGAGAAATAAATGCTTATCCTGTAAGCATACCCAACAGCATAAACACTCTACTTCAAGATTCTTCCGAATGCACGCTTGATTTGTGGCATTTACCAAGGAAGTTCGTAAAAACGCCCACAGAATAATAACCCAGCCGCTTCCAACTTCATTTGTCACATGGCTTTATTGCTGCCGGTGTCATGCTGTATTCGCGACACAGACATTGTCCGGATGTCGTAAATCAATGCCCTTAGAACGTTTGCACATAGACAACGGTGACAGCGTCACATTAGGTGATTTATTCTGTACGGTCCAGCGGTAACAGTCACCTCTCTTTCGCTATCGATGCGTACCGGAGTTGTTTCAATCTAATTAGCTGTCAGCCTCGACCGTTATTGTGAACGAGGGACCAACCAAAAACCCAGGTACAACGGTACTATTGCTCAGTTGGGTGACAGGGGGCGAAATCGATGTCTGAGAATACCCACCGAGAATAATTCGAGCTGGACTGGATTGGACTTTCCCAGGTGTCCAGATATGCGGGTGGGAAGTAATGTGAATGGCGTTTGGGATAACAGGGACAGTCAATCAAGACGGCAGTTTCCAACTCTTTATTTTGTATCATTTTTTATTTTGTGCTATTTAATTATGCATGCATGCTGTTGATCAAGGAATATGCAGTGGCCTGTTGAGGCTGGTGCCTACGATGTTCGGTTTTGCACAGCTGCATTTCGCATGTTTTTGTATGCGGCTGCATGCACTATTTGGACAAGTTGACGCGGAATCCAACCACGCCCAATAATTCATTAATCCTACCGTCACACAGGTTGCTGCTCCACTACCTTTGTGATTAATTGTTTGTTCCGCACTCTTCCAAGATGAATAAACCAGAGCGACATTACTGCAGAGTTGTGTGTGGTTGCTTGTTTGTTTGTTTGTTTGTGCAATCAAATATCAAAGTGTGAGTGTGTGTATCTCTGAGCGTTGTCTTACATTACTTGAGGGATTAATTAATCATACAAGCATTGAAACTCGATCGAAAGGGCTCTGGTCGTTTGATTGGAACACGATCTGAATACAAAAAAAACCACGTTCGCTAGGACAAGCATACAAAAATACATATTTCATCTCATCACACCACAACTACACACTGTTTTTTTTTACCTTTGTGTGACCGTTTCCGACGTGTTCGGACCATTCTCATACTGCAAAACACGGTCAACGCGATGATGAGTCCCAAGTAGGTGACGGCACAACCCACAACGGTTAGAATTGTTTTCAACATACTAGAACCGGAACTTTCTTCTCCGAGTTGTTGCCTCGTGTAGTCCTCGGCGGCTGGGTAAGGCAAAGACGAACAAAATGCAGACATGTGAAAAGCGAAAGTTGGGGGAAACTGCGTGAAGTTAGACTGGCCCGAGGAGATGCATGTTTATGTGCACTTCGGTTTGGTGCAGTCTTTTGGGAAGGAAGCATACATTGGCCGATTCGACAGGCATGCACCACAGACGTAGGCACAAACGCGTACACGGTGTCGAAGCAACACCAAACGCGTCAAGGAACTGAGGCCAAAACATGAATAAATTAGTTTTTAAAGGTCATTCCGAATGAAGTGTGTTGGACTATGCGAGCGAGGCAAACATTAATCACTAACCTACTTCAGGTTGGAAGAAACACCAAGGTAGAAAGGACGCACATCCACCGCTGTAGCACAGCGCAGAGGGTAATAGATGGCATGAGGAATTGTGTTTCTTTGTCTGTGTGTGCGTTCGGATAAATGGACTTGGACGGCCCGTCACGGACCCCTTTCAGAGATCTTCCTCTCCACTACCTCTCAGCCAGGTAGGTCGTTGCGGAGTGATACACTCACCTCGGGAGAATTGTACAAATACCATATACCCCTGCTTTTTGGTGTCACAAGTTCTAAAATTTGTGCTAAGTTATCCTACAAAAAGCACGGTAACTTTACGAAGATTGGACTTCAACATAATTCATATCAGACTAACTTTAGGGATTTTTTAAGCACCTGGGTTTTACACATCTTTTATTGATTTCATATAATGTATTTACGCCATTCCGACAAGGATTTTCTGGAGTAAGGGGATCGTCGAATGTGACTGCTGAACTCGCTCTGAAAGCATCCATAGTTACAAGCAACTTACTTCACTCGTAATTAGTATCGATGGGACATTGCACTCACTCCAGAAGTTACTACGTATAAATATTGTTGGCTGATATGCTAATATACATGCACGATGTCGAAAAAAGCAAGGGATATTTAGCGGCTGTAGAAGGATGAAGGAACGCATAGTTAAGTGCTATTTTATATGTCAAGGCTAATCCCTTAGAATGGGTCTGCCGTAAGGCTCAAGGTCAACGGTTGTCGAGTACACGAATTAACGTGCACACAACAGATGAGTTCAAAGAGTGTCCAAGAATTATCGGAGATTTTGCATTTTCTATTTATACGCTCGGAGCTGAAATAATTTTATAGTCTGATGAGAGAGGCGACGGTGCAAGGCTGCGAGCTTGTATCGGACGTCTAAAGTCGCCTACACTGGTCCCAACATCAGCAACCATAGCAACTTTCTACTGAAAAAAAAACAATTTCGAGAGGAGCCAGTTAATAAATGTCTACGCAATCTTTAGCTGGGTAAAATCTGACAGCCGAATTACCAGCATTCAGCGTTGATTATGAAAATCGGCTTTGTACTACTATTCCTATACACTGACCGGACTGCCATATAAACGCTATAAAGGCAATTGTTTCAAAGATCTGAGTGGACCTTCGCCCTCAGCTGGGGCGAGATGGCCCAAGGTCGAAAGGTCCGTGGTTCGAATCCGACCTCTGCCACTTGACTTCCCCTGTCTAGGCTTGAGCAACCTGGCAGTATCCCAGCCCTCGTGAAACCTCGGGTGGCATGGCAGTTGGGCGCCAAAAATGTGCTACAGCTGAACGATTTTTTAGCCCTCAGCAAAGGCTTAACTGCATCAGGCAGCCCTGAAAATGGCCTCGAATACTCCAGATTTACTAATCTAAAGCTCATTCCTCTTGGCAAACACGAAGAGTGCTTTGCTTAGAATTTTTCCTCTGCTAACACTACATCCCCTTCCAGTCGATCAAATTCTGCTGGCTCAAGTTGAGTAAATATAACCGATCATTCACTAGATGTCAGGTTCAGAAAACCGATTAAAAATCCACTGAGTGGACGCAATTTGTCTTAGTGTGGTTAGTCAATCAATACAGATGTCTTTTATGTGGTTTAGTCAAGTGAACTCAAAAGTAGGGACAGGTGACTAGCAGGCAACTAACGTTCACTGAAAACGCGGACGTATGTATCCTAATGATTATCGTACACCTGACCGAAAACGCATTCTAATGGCCAAGCCAGAGTTTGTCGTTAGCGAAGAATAAGGACATCGGATAATCAGGAGCTTGAAGAATGACAGCGAATGCTGGTGGATCTCGAAGACTCATGAGATGAAGGCTTTCTCTGCAGGCAACAGACGCACCGATTCGACCGACCGGTCGATAGAAAGCAGGTCAGTGAGACGAAATGTGAAAATGACGGAACGAAAATTTACTCCCCAAATCGCTGTCTTGATCGGTGGGCTGAGCACTTCCAAGAACAGTTCAGCTGGACTCCTTCAACATGACCCATTGGGCCCGAATGGAACACTGGTACCAACACACCGTCAAAAAACGAAATCCAGCGTGAGATTTCAATCCTAAAGCGCTGCAAGGTACCTGGCCCGGATGGTCTACGCCCTGCACCCTTCGAAAAAGGTGGCATGTTCATTGTGAAAAGTCTCACGACCTTACTGAAGAAGAGTTGCAACAGAATACCAGTCGAGTGGAGCTCCTCGAAAGTCATCCCAGTTTTCAAAATGAGCGCAAGGACAGGCACTGAGTATGCAGACGATAATGCTCTCCTTGGTTCAGATACTTCCCAAATGCCGCACGGTTTGGCATGCGCTTCAAACCTGCAAGATTTAAAGAGTTGCTACAAGACTGGGTGGGATCAAACCCACACCTCATGCTTGCAGGTGAGCCTATCGACGTGGTAGATAAGTTTGTTCACCTGGGCAGCGTATGAGTTCTGGTGGACTGGCTGGAGATGAGATTCTTTTTCGAATTGGAAAGGCCAGGGCAGTTTTTGCCAACCTCCGACACCTATGGTGCCGATGTGACGTAAGCTCGTCTGTCAAGGGAAGAGTTTGCACTGCGGTGGTGCGACCCATACTGCTTTACGAATCAGAGACGTGGCCCCTACGCGCAGAGGGCATACGGGCGATGCCAGTGTCGCTGTCTCCGAAGCATTGACCAGGTCTGGTGGGAACATCGGATTAGTAATGCTGAGGTACGTTAGATTGTCTTAGAAAGAAGGAACGCTCACGCGATAGATGAATTATTCATGCTCAGAATTAACCAAGAAAAACTATAAAATAAGCAGAATCTCACGAACACGACATAAAAAACTTAACTCGAGGGCACTTGATATATCTATTTAAAACAGCATATGGGACGCGTTAAGAGGTAAAGTTGGGTGCTGGGTGCATATTAGCTTTCGCATATTCACATGCGAATAAGGTAGCGGAATCAATGTAATGCGCATGATCAGTCAGCAGAGAAGACAGCGCTTGGTCAACCACTGTTGGAATCAACCTCGGTATGCTTTTTTCATATTCAACGAGGGTACAGTAACACCTGTTACGGTGGCTCAAGGCTTTAATGATTTTACATTTCTTACTAACCAGTGGTCTTCATTCTAAATGCACAGTTGTGTAAAAAATAGCGTTACGGAGATACTGCAGTTGCTCTCTCAATAGTAAACTAACAAAATATCGACAAGTTTCTTCACAGTGAAACGCCAGTTGGAGTCGCTTGAAGCTATATGAATAACATGAAAGCAATAGAGGGCGAATGTGCAGTTTACAAAGGCAACTCACACAATACGCGAACAAATAGACCTAAGCGAGCTTCAACTGCATGTGTGTTATTCGCCACACAAATGTATTCCGCTTGGTCAAGTAAATTTGCTTGGTTAATCACCAGACTTCCGTTTGGGTAGGCTTTCACACGACTCTGATCAGTGGGTGCATTTCGAGAGAGCAGAGCGGCCATTACTGGATCCGAATTGGCTTCATCTTGCATCGATCCATCGGGCTTTGTTGTATGTTGTAGTTCGGAGTTGGAAGATTGCAAACCCCTATTAGATTGGGCTTCCGGAGTTCCGTTTTCGTTCGGGTCAAATTTCGGCGTGTACAGTGTGAAACCGATCCTCTTCGCAATCCAGCTGATTTGAGGCAAAGGATCTCCGGTGGCGTGGCAATTGAGTACAACTTGTTTTCCAACACTCACAGTTTGGTTTGAGCTGATCTGTGAAATCTGTGGCTTTTCTGTAGCAAAATAGAAAGAATTACCAAATGCAAGTATCACCAACCTCCTCTCTTACATAAACAAATGCTTCGTATGTTAAAAAAATCTTCACTAGCAGTTAAGTGCTCGATGTAACGGGCGACACAGTAGAGCGGGAGATGCAGACACATGCACACAACACATGAACTATACACCAACGTACGTAAATGTCAAGCCGCAAGTTGCGTGCTAGCAGAATAGTTTACGATGTTTAACAATTATATATGCAAATATACATATGTATATTCGTTTATGGAACAAACTATTTCCTGGCTATACTCGAGTTCGTTTTTTGCTTAACTACTTGTTCAACATTACCCCAACTGACCGAACGCAGTACGGACCGCGGCATCAGACGGGTATGTAATTTTGCGGGGTGGTAGTAATGCAGCGGCGGCAACGCGCGGAATGATGACAATGATTTATGCCGGGCCAGTACACACACTGTCACGAATGCAGTATTATGTTCCAAGATGAGTAATGTATGTGTGTGTAATACGCTGGACCGTATCTATGCGTACGTCAACGACTTTTTCCTTGCACGAGCTCATAGATCACTTGTCAAGAAGCGCGTATCTCTTATACTGCGGCTAGTGGACCGCAGAGTCGATGATTACGCGAGAGTTGAAGAAATC